ATATATTAGGCCGGATTTCAAGAATAAACTCATCATTATATATAGAATAATAGAAAAGTAGAAAGGTCTTATTGAGACATGTATTAAATTTTTAATTGCTATAAACTATAGTAAGAGCTATGGAGGACTTAAAGTACATTTAATATTTTATATACAAATTAACCAAATCCTTTTTCGTTTGAATTTTAGATAAATTATACCTTTTATGCTTCCCATCTGTTTATGCCTTAAAATCAACAGACTACATCGTTATAATTTTGTTATACCCAAAAGTGATTTTTTTGAACGAATTTTAGATATGCCATTCCTTTTTTGCTTCTTATTAGGTTATTCCACAGAGACAACGGACTTCATCACTATTTCAAACTTTTTGGTATTGATAATTTTTTTCTGAATACTCTCTCTCTCGTACATCTATGAAACGTATACTACTAGCCCTTAAAAGAGAATTTGTTGGAAATTAAGTGTTATGGTTAATATATGTAATATCAAAAGGAATAGTACATGATAGTCTTGATATATATTTAGTGTTTAATTGAATGTTCTCTAGACTTGAGATATATCAAGATATACGACTTGACATAGTCGTATATCTCTATTTAGTTTATCTGTCATATTATTAATTCCATTAGTTGTTGTTTTTGTTGTAGTTTCTATTTTTGTTGTTGTTATTATTGTTGTTAATATCAATTCCGTGTAGCACCTTCATAATTTAAATTTTTGATACTAAAAGATATGTAGAGATCTTAAAATAATTAATAAGAGAGTGTATTGGTTGCAATTAATAAAACTTTTTTACTACTAATATCTAATAACATTAGATTTCTTAATAGTTCATAATGGATTGAACATTTTTTTGAAGATCGTATTTGTTTGAAGCGTAACTGATTTAAGCTTTTCCCACATTTTGCCGATCATTACAACTTATGATAATCCAAGCCGACAAAGATTTGATGGACACAATGCCGCAAGATTCAATTATGAAAAACTCATATGGCTGAAATTTGTATAAATTCCTCAACCAACTCAATTCATGCCGCCTTCCTGCCATTTTCAGCTACAGACCATAAGCTACATATTGTAATAACTGAAAGTCTGAATCGGCATCATTGTCAACATAATCAACATCACATGACCAAACCGAACCAAACCAGACCAGACCTAAGCAAAGCAAACCAAATCGTTTTCAGCAAAACTCAAGCGTCTTTTCAATTGAATTTGAATTTCAATGCAATTTTCCATTCACAGGATTATGGCGATGCAATTTGATGCACAAAGGTCTGTTGAATGCGTTATTGCGGGCTTTGAAATTTTGCCGCACACTCGCAGTAATGCAACGCTTTGATGCAATGTTCCAGTGCATTGCAACGCTTTGAAGAGCAAAAATATGGCAAAATCTGAGTTACGCCATTTTTGTTATTTGGTTCACTTGAGCCGCTCAAACCACTATTTTATTTTGTTTTATTTTTTTTTTAATAAATTTCCATTTTCTTGGTTTTTATTTAGATTTCTTTGTTTTTTCGTTTTTTTTTATAATTTTGTTAACTTGGTTATCAGTCGTTTTTGCAGCTACTGTTTTACACACAAAAACCTTAAAGTACGTACATAGCAGCCTCCGCCGCCACAGTTGCCAGTTGGCAGTTGGCTTCTTGTTGGTGGATGCAACAGGCCCAGCAACATCAGTTCGTTTCGTGGAATCACAAAATTGACATTTTGTACAGCATTTACAAGATGTTGCTGGAACAATACAAAATGTTGTTGCTACTGTTTGGCTATGCTGCTCATAGTTATTGTTGTTCTTGTTGTTGCTGGTGTTGCTGTTACTGTTGCTGTTGTGGGCTATGCTGTTGTTGTTTTGTGTTTGTTGAAGCAAAATAATTGTGAACGAAGAAATGTCGCCAATTGAAGGATGTGTTGCAATCGCACCAAAAAGTTCAACTTCAAATAACTTTGAGATTGGACCTTGCCTTAGTGTTTCTACTCAGTTTCATTTTTAAGCCTTGTTATGGACATCAATGATTTTGAAACCGACAAAGCCTGTATTGCTCCTGCCTTCCATCCGGATTTACCGTGCTTACCGTGCTCACTTATTGTAGATGGCTGCCTTGTGTCTGCGCAGATAACAATTTTGTTCTTGTGATTTTTTTTATCTGAGCATTTAAATCTGATTGTGAATTTTTTTCTCTCCTTGTAGTTATCGGATTCGATATACTTTTGTGCTTAGATTCTGTAGCTGGACACAAAAACAACAAGAGATTCTTAGCTTGGGTAATTAGACGACAAAATGGCAGCTCAGCGACGCATTAATCAATGTGTTTTTACATGTTTAGCGTTCCTTTGAAGTTGGTTACGCTTAAACCTTAACATGACTTAAGTGTCCTCTGCATGTGGTATCTAAATGTGATATCGAATGCAACTAATTTGTTAAATTCGAACAGTTTTTCGGCTCTTCTTCAATAATGAGATTTTCGATAACACTGCATTGTACCGACTTTGTTTTAAAATATCGAAATTAATTTCATTTTTTATTCGAACTGATATTGTTTATTTGAATGAAAGCCATCAAACCCTACTCAAGATAACTATCATGAATTTATTCGCATCCAAAAGGTAAAATTAACAATACGATTTTAAATGTTAATAATTAATCTCAAATATTTAGATTTAATACAGATTGAAGTCTATATACTTCAGTATAATCCTTCAATAAGGATACGGTTTTGAGTTAAGTAAGGTAGGACAAAGAGATCCAATTCTATTTCATTAACATTCATTGATGACAAATTTTGTTGTTGCGAATAAGAACTACTAGTGTTGCTCTACTTTCGCACAAGGAGTGTTAAAAAGATGTTTTGGATTAATTTACATAAATATTAAGGTGCTGGAAGGTTACCGAATAGACCACATTAACTGAATTACCATCACAAGTAGAAGAATCTGTTTGCGCTGCAATATTCTTATTCCTGTGTGGAATAAAAATAGACTTCGAGTTAACTTTTTATAACTGTCTGGCTATGATATAAGCTAAGAAAAATACTGAAACAGATTTACTTTGATGACTGTACGCCGTTCAACTGTAAGTCTGAAAGTCTGTTATGTAGAGCAAAGTTCTGGGTTCTCATGCCATATGTGTAATTCTAAAAGTCACATATACGAGTTATTTTCAGACTGTCCAATACTAACTTTTCTTTTTTGTTTTGTTTCAAAAGTTTAAGAAACTTTTTTTAATGATATTACTATAACTTTAAATATAGACATTATAGTCTTCATAAGTCTGTATATCTTCTATTCACTTTGGGCTTGTTGTTAGTAAAAAGGAACTGACTCAGGAAAAAATGCAAGATTGCTTGTACCCCATCTAGTGTTAGGAAATTCTTAACGAAAAATAGCGAAAAAATGATAGATACTCTTAGTAAAGCCGAATAACTTTTATTCGTTTTAGATTTATTGTAAGTTGTGAAAGATCAGCCTTGGTGGCAATGCTCTGATCAATTGAGACCCCAGAACTTAATTATATTATAATTTTAATTCTAAAATGAACAAGTTCAAAGAAATTTCTATTCTCTTTTCACATAAGAAAGCAGAAGTATGTATCTAATAACACAGGATCCAAGTACATATCCACAACTTCTTTTGTTCTGAACACTTGGTTGGCTTCGCACGGGTGTGTCATGGTAGTTATGGTCAACAAATAAAGGTACTAAGGAAGTATGCTGCCGTTAATGCTTTCATTCGAAGTGACGTTACAATTTTTCAATAGCATACTATAACCTAAAGACTAGCTGAAGTTTAGATGGGCCGCCCTCTTCATCAAGGGCGAGAGAGACATAATATATAACTCTTATTGATGAAATTTATTCCATTGGAGCATTTATGGGCACAGTATCTTTGAAAATTTGTGTGAAAACCAATGGATTGCCATTGGTTTGGTCGATACCGTGACAGTTATGACCATCTTGAAGACAATGACCAAGTTCTGACACTGACAATCACTCGGAATCAAAACTTCTGTAAGACTCATAAAAAACCACATAGCTATTCTTCGACTAGCAGAGCAATAAAAGACAATAAATTCGCGTATTTACCCATCTGTTCTATGAGGTATAAAATTGATATACCTTTTCTATGAGGTTCAAACTATATATCGCATACGCAATATTTCTCTTGCAAACTTAATTATTTTTCTCCAGCGTAGCCAATCTTATTCTATATTTTTTAGAATTTGTAGTTTCATATATTTTTCATATGAATTTAACAATATATGGATTTACGAGCAATATTTACTACATGAAATTTTTTACTAATAAACACATAAAAAAATTCTTTTAAATTCATTTTTATCAATAGCTATTGAACTTCATTTCTAATTAGTTTTAGAAATTATACTCTTACTCCCCATCACTAATTTAATCCCAGCCATGATCCTTCTGCACAACATGTCGATAAATTGTAACGGGTACCGGATAAGGTTTTGGAACTGGAATTTTTATTTCTTTAATCACCTCAACGGGATATGGCCGCTCAACTTCAACTGGATACGGTTTCTCAACGGTGTAAGGTATACGTCGCTCAGTAATTTCGGGTACTACACGAAAGCTTGGCACCTGTATCTCCTGTTGCACAGGAACATGTACCGCATATGGCTCCGGTATTTGTATACGTATAACATTAGGCACTTGCACGGGTACAGGATGTGGTATTGCAAGTGGTATCTTTTCTATAACTTGCACTGGAACTGGCTTGGAGATTTCTGAGTAAGATTCAGACGTTTGATGCGGTGGTGGCAATGGATGATGTGATTCGTAATCTGAAGCAGTGGGATCAATATGTGAGGCAGTGATGTAGCACAACATTTCAGCGCACACAATTAAGAAGATGTACTTGTTTTTGATGTGATAATTAAATTAATGTATTTTGATCATGTATATATTGTATATTTGTATTAACTTACATTCTTAGCCATGCTTTTTGTAGAAATTAAATTGACTCGAGTCCAATGAAACTAACGCCAACTCAACCTGACTTTTAATACTGTTCGTCAGCCTGCAATTGCATTGCTTTTTATAGTTTCAACAACTGAAGCTAAAACAAACTGTTTGATATTATTTCTACAAAAAGTGAAAGAAATGTGGAAGTTTGCACTTGAATTACATTTTCTAACAAAAGAGCTGTTTAAGGAAATGATTAACAATATAAAGGAAAGGAAAAACAATTTTTATGGTCATTTGCGTCCTATGCAATGAGGTAATATTTATGCCGTATCTACGCGCCAATTGTGCCCATAAAGCGAAAGTAATTCAATTTTGCATCATTGTTTTTTTTTTTTAAACCCAAATAGTAGGAAAGTAATGATTTAAATGTGATCAATTGGGCAGCTGAACTAGGCATAAATTACCTAAGAGATTGGAATGGATGCAGTACGATGACGAACCTGGTTACCAAACATTCAGGTAGGTACTACATTGATTTACTTATTCACAAGTTTGTACTAAATGACTACAATAACATACATACTACGGCCCTGATATATAGGACCTAAGCGACATGTCATTGATTGCCTAAGTCTTAGTACTTTCTATTTCTGAAAATTGATAAATGAGTTATGGTGTTAGTATGTCTTCACAGAGATATGCAAAATAGAGATATATAGTGCAACTTAGCTTCACCATTTCTTTACTTTACTTAATACTAATACTTAATACTAATTCAAGTGCTTCTTCCCACAAAGCAGTTTTTCTTTATAATAATAAATTTTTAACTCATCTTGGCAACATTGTTCACTTCTAAAATCAAACTATTTTTTTTTTTTTTATTTTTATTATTAATCAACTTTTTTTTTCAAAGTTCAAACTAACAACAAAGAAAATTGCGAACCACTTTCTTGACTTGGCATCGACAGTACTTATGGGTTACGGGATTGCTCGCTGCCAACACGCGTTCACAGTATCAAATTGCCCAAGTGAAAAGTGATAGTCTTCACCAGCCGAAAGATACAATTAAATAGGGAGCGAGGTGCGCCTAACGTTTGTTATGCCAATACAATTACCAAGTCGCAGTGGATGGAGCGGAGCGTCCACTTGAAAACACAGCGCACCTTGTTATTAAATTGTTATGATCCAAATGTGGCATAATTGCAGTTTCATCGGAAACTGCGCTTAGTGGTCATGAGAAGAGCTTCGACATTTGAGATTTAATACAAAAAAAAAATATTTTAAATAAATTATTTGCTATTTATTTGAAAAGGAAATAAATTTGAAAACAAAGTAGCACTTAGTAACAATTGTAGAGATATTATATTTATTTACAAAAAAAAATTAAATATTATATATTAATATTGTATTTCCACAAATTTTTTTTAATTTTATATAATAACAATTTCAGTTTTAAAATTAAAAAGTAAACAGCTTTAAAATAATACCTTTTAGCTATAGTGGGTCATGGAAACGAGGTCATATCTGATATCAAAAATAGATGAAATTCTCTTAGTAGTGAATATAAAATACAAAACTTAACGAAAACATTTATTCCTTAGAAGTATATAAGATTTTAGTATATGTATATGGGTTACAACATTTACTTGCCCAATAATTATTGGTCATATACAGATAGGAGAAATTCTTCTTCTATGAGCACCTAATAATACTTCTTCTAATTAGTATTTTATTCCATACTAAAACCACTTTAAAATCAATTGTTCTCTTAGTTAGTATATACATTAAGACCGAAAAGTTTTCGGAAATTCTCATTTAAAATTCGCGCGCTGTATATTTTTCGATATTTTAAGTTTATGTAGTTTGGCAGCACTGTCCTTAATTACTATGCCAAAAATGAGCGCGATCTGTCAGACAGTTCGTTTACGGCAGCTGTTGAAACCAGTTCACCTCAGTAGGGCGTTGCGAAAAAAACAATGGAAAAAAATATTGAACAAAGAGTTTGCATCAAATTTTGTGTTTCGAACGAAATTTCGTGTGCAGAATCGTTGCGAATGCTACAAAAGGCTTATGGGGAATCAGTTTTATCGAAAACTCAAGTTTATGAGTGGTACAAAGCCTTCCAGGACGGTCGTACGACCGTCGAAGACATTTCGCAACGCACTACTGAGGTGAACTGGTTTCAACAGCTGCCGTAAACGAACTGTCTGACAGATCGAGCTCATTTTTGGCATAGTAATTAAGGACAGTGCTGCCAAACTACATAAACTTAAAATATCGAAAAATATACAGCGCGCGAATTTTAAAT